GGAGGGGGGAGAGTGGGAGGATCAGGAAGGCGAAGGAGATGGGAGAAGGAATCCAGGGGTGGAGGGATGGGAGAGTGGGGCGATTGGGATGGCTGCAGTAGTAACACGTTCCAAAGCTGACATATCGAAAATGGTCCAGGTCCAGGTACAGTAGTACCACTCCATCAAAAACGGTCCAGGTACAGTAGTACCACTCAGGGATATACCCAAAGCAAGATGTTTAACTGTTGATTACAGGTAAGGGCATTGGGCATAGATCAGGCTTGGTGGTGGTGAAACTAGATGGTACATTGTGTTAGCCTTTTGTCTCTGCCCTTCTTTTCTAACGTGATGCAGGATCACGAAACACAGGCTTTTCCATTGACTTGCAAAGGCTTTTCTAACGTGATGCAGAACCAGTGAACCAAACCACACTCTGTGCCGCAATTTATCGGTTTGATGCCAGTTAGAAAGCACAGTGTGTGTGCTGTCTCTTATACACATCTAGATGTGTATAAGAGACAGCACGAGCAAGAAAAGGTTAACCAACCTCCGTATTTTTCCTCAGCATTTAGAATAACACCCCAAATTCTTTTTCCCCAAAATCCACATCCAACCAAGGAAAGAGCACCCAGAAAACAACCGAACATACAATCAAGACCAGAAGACTTTATACTCTAGAGTCTAGACACCCTGATGGAGTAGTACAAACCATTCAAGTTCAAGGGTGTCTACTCCATCCTCCGAAAGAATCATCCTCCGAAAAACTCACTTCCATATCCAACAAAGTATTCTCCGAAAAACTCACTTCCGTATCCAACAAACTATTCTCACGATTCATTGTGAGAATTTGTGACCCTGCACAACCACTGCTGACAGCCTTAACCCACACGATTCATTGTGAGAATTTGTGACCCTGCACAACCACTGCTGACAGCCTTAACCCACAAGTGCGCTGGAGCCTATTTTCTATTTTTCACAACTTTTTCCCAACGCTCTATTTGGCCCAGACCTGGACTTAGTCTACCTTCTTCCCCCGATATTCTACCTTCGGGGGGTAGTCTACCTTCTTCCCCTCATATTCTACCTTCTTCCCCCCGAATACAACGTACGGTCATTATAGCTGTACCTAGACTGAAAGATGCCTCAAATACAGCTATAATGACCGTACGTTGTATTCGGGGGAAGAAGGTAG